CAATTCAGATCTGATATTGTTAAATGACAAAAAATATTTTATATTTCATATATTCTCATTTACCCTTTTTCTTCTGTTTAGATATTTATGGTTCGGAAAGATGAGACCCTGAAAAATCTATTCCTGTTAGTTCATTTTCCAGCCCAGAAAGAGGGGTGTGACATTCTAGAATACAAGATAAAAGAAGAAAAATCTTGTAAGTTTATCTCCCTTCTTGAAACACATTCCAATATTTATGCACATTATACCCCTTGTGATCTGTTTCAGTACATATATTTACAGTATATTTGACTGCATATACGAGGAACTTCAGATTCTGGGCTTGAAAGGTTGCAGGAATTGGGTTTATCTAGTCTAGTGAAAAGAAGAACTAGGGGTGGCGTGATAGCATAGTTCCAATATTTGAGGGGCTGCCACAAAGAAGCAGGAGTCAAGCTATTCTCCAAAGCACCAGAAAGCAAGACAAGAAGCTATATGGTTGGAAATTCATCAAGGAAAGAAGCAACCTAGAACTAAGGAGAAATTTCCTAACAGTAAAAACAATTTACCGGTGGAACTCATTTTCTTCAGAAATTGCTGTGATGCTCCATCACTGGAGGGTTTTAAGAAGAGACTGGACAGTCACTTGTCTGGAATGGTATAGGGTCTGCTGCTTGAGTAGGTAGTTGGACTAANGATAGATAGATAGATAGATAGATAGATAGATAGATAGATAGATAGATAGATAGATAGATAGATAGATAGATAGATAGATAGATAGATAGATGGTATTCAGCAGGTTCTGACCACTTCTGGAGAACCAGTAGTGGAAATTTTGAGTACTTCAAAGAACTGGTTGATACCACTCTGACTAGCCTTGCCCCCATCTACTCACTGCCTCCCAAATCCCAGCTGATTGGGAGGAAATGGGGACTTTGCAGTATCCTTCCCCTGCCACACCCACCAAGAATAAGAATACTTTATTGTCATTGTACATATATGCACAGTATACCCATATAACGAAATTCACATAACACCCAGAGACCAGGCCCAATACACATGACAATACACACACACACACACACACACACACACCAAAATTTCCCTGCCCCTAAACCACCTAAGGATCCACACAACAGACCAAGTAATGTTGTCCAACAGCTCACTGATGGTGACCTTTTAGTTCATTGTTGAGTGCAATTATAGCTCTGGGATAAAAACTATTCAGAAGACATGTGGTCCAAGTTTTAATTGTTCTGTATCTTCTGCCAGAAGGCAACAGTCCAAAAAGATTGTAAGCAGGATGGGAGGAGTCTCTGAGAATGTTGTGCAACTTCTCAAACAGCGAGAGCAAAGATGTCATCCAGGGCTGGTAGCTAGAGCCCAATGATATTCTGGGCAGTTTTAATGATTCTCTGTAGAGCTTTTTTGTCTGCTGCAAGCCATGCCCACCAAGCTGTGCCACACCCAACAAGCCACGCCCCAGAACCAGTAGTAAAAAAATTTGAATCCCACCACTGGATGGATGGATGGATAGATAGATAGATAGATAGAGATTAGATAGATAATAGATAGTTAGAAAAAGAAAATTAAAAATCTATCTGTATTTTTCTTTTTCACATTTACTTTACTATATGTATATATATTTGAATGTATTTCCTACTATCCATGTAAAATTTACCATCAAGTTACCATCTTGGCTTTATTAACACCTCAACACTCCTGCTAAAAATCTTCATTCATTCACGTCATTCACTTCAATTGGGAAGAGACCCATCACTTTCTTGACAGTGCCCACAGCAGCAAATGGCAAGTGAAATGATCAAGCAAACAAATATGCCAACATTTTGAACCCAGGCGATTCCCAAAGCCTGATTAAATAAATGCCTGATCCAGTCTGCAATCCTCTTATCTTGAAATAGGACCATATCATTACCTAAATTATTCTTACACGTATATTCTGAATTAAATTCAGCATGCAAGTTTAATTACTACTTAATATGCTCCAAACCTAATTACTGTATTTAAATTTGAAAAGTCAGTTCCAAATTTATTGCAAGTTTGGTTCCAGTTTTTGCTTTACGTCACAAACACAAACTGCTCCAGCTCAAGAGCAAATTGATAGTATATATTGGTATTATTTATTCTGGCTTAGATGCTAAGCAGGGCTGGCCTTCTATCCCTCACCCACTCCCAATCTTGCTAAGAAGGAGAAGGCACATGTTTTGTTTAACTTAGCACAATGAAAAGCCATTCACAACAGAAGTACAGCCATTACTGGTATATCAAGGGTATATTAACAGAATCTGAGTTTCTTATTGCTGCAAGTGTACTTGTGGAGGATGGAGAGTCAAAAAGTCAAGATGGCCACCTCAATCATGCAATCAAAGCTTCTTCCCATTTAACACTGGGAGCATTCAAGAGCCTTTTCTAGTGGCTGTCAGTCTTCATGGCAGGAAGTTGTGAAATTGGAGTGGGGTAGCTTAAGGATGCTGTAAACAACACTGTTATATTAAAAGCTTCATGTGTTGAGGAGAGGAAGTGTTGAGGAGAGGACATTTTACTGCATATTGAAATGGAGTGTTTTGACTGACAGAAAAAGGAAACAGAGGTGATAGGAAACCCCTCCTATTTAAAATTAACCATTCCTGCTGGTTACAGAAGCATCACCAAAAGAGAATAAAAGCATGGTAATGTGGATTTTTAGAAAAAAATTATAACCTTCCTTCATGTTGGAAATAGATGCTGGAAATGGACACAAGCACTGGATGAGAATCAGTAAGGCCAGTGATGATGCTCAGAAAACTTACCTGAGCCAGTCATACACTGAAAAGTCCTTTAAATGAAGATCTATTTATTTGATTTATTCATTAAATGTAAAGGTAAAGGTTACCTTCATACATATGTGCTAGTCGTTCCTGACTCTAGGGGGCGGTGCTCATCTCCATTTCAAAGCCGAAGAGCCAGTGCTGTCCGAAGATATTCTTCAAGGTCATGTGGCCGGCATGACTAAACACCAAAGGCACATGGATCACTGTTACCTTCCCACCAAAGGTGGTTCCTATTTTTCTACTTGCATTTTTACATGCTTTCGAACTGCTAGGTTGGCCGAAGCTGGGACAAGTAATGGAAGCTCACTCTGTTACACGGCACTAGGGATTTGAACCGCCAAACTGCCGACCTTTCTGATCGACAAGCTCAGCGTCTTAGCCACTGAGCCCTATAGATGGTCTCTTTACAATTTGTAAAACAGCTTATTTGAGTCAAGCTTGATTTCTGTTGACCATATGGCCATATCACTGTAGGTTCCTTGGGCACAAATAGAATGGCTTCCTGTGCAGGTACTGACCAACTCCAAATATTCTTAGCTGCGTTGAGATCAGCCAGTGTTAAATTCTGTCATCTAGTTTGGTTCTTGAAATACTGGACTGTTTATTATAAAGCAGAATGCTGACCATCCTTTGAGGTCCTCCCTCATTATCTTTCAGCTCCACATCTCTTCTTTCCTCCAATAGGTTTGGCATCATGGTTTACTGGTACCACAATGTGGCTTTTCTTGCAATAATAGGGGGAGTTTAAAATATCACTCTCTGCAAATGCCGTTCCACCTGCTCTGCATCTGTGAACAAATCTAACTTTAGATAGACAATAATCTTAAGTATTTTTAACTTGCTAATGATCCTCTTGCACAGTCACTATGGGGACTCACTAACACTTTCATTTGCTTAAGTTCTGGCCTGCTGTAACCTGCCCTCTGTGATAATCATCTTAAAATGCAATTTGACGTGAAAGTGGAAGCAGCAAACTGCTTTGCTTGCAGCAAAGAAACTATTGCAACAAACCAATGGGTGTTTGTGTAAACAAAACAGATACCTGACAAACTTGTAATACAACAAGATTTGGAGAGTTCTGTGGTGGGAATGTGCTCTATACTTCTGATTTAGAAGTAGTAGGTTATTTTTAGATATGTCGTTGTTAATGATTTTGATTGATCTGGAGCAGTGGTGGGATTCAATTTGTTTACTACCGGCTCTGTGGGCGTGGCTTGGTGGGGGTGATGTTGTTTGGTGGGGGTGATTTGGTGGGCATGGCAGGGGAATTATACTGCAAAATCCCCATTCCCTCCCCACCCCACTCACCTGCTTCCCAGCTCCTTTCTCCTGTTCAGGGCAGCAAAAGAAGATCAGCTGGGATGCAGGGGAGGGTGGGGCCAGCCGATTTGCTGGTGGGCTGTTCCGAGCTTTGCTGGCTGAGGAACTCTGGGAGTTGAAGTCCACAAGTCTTAAAGTTGCCAAGGTTGGAGACCACTGCTCTCAACTACTCAAAATTTCTGCTACTGGTTCTCCAGAACCTGTCAGAACTGGCTGAATACCACCTCTGATCTTGAGGTAACATAGAACAGGCATCTCCAATTCCTGGGCTGCGGCCTGTTCAGAACCAGGCCACACAAGCAGCGGGCAAGCGAGCAAAATTCCACTTGCATGAGCGGTGGGTGTTCACTCTCCCTCCACTGCTTGTGCAAATGGAGCTGTGCACATGAATGTGCTCACCCACTGCTTATGTGGAACTATCCCCTCTCCCCCCCCCACTCACCACCAACGTTGCCAGTCCACAAAGCCGGAAAGGTTGGGGACCACTGAAATAGAAGATATATACATTTTGCAAAGTCCTAGAAAACACACCTCACCAAGCTCTCCGGAATAATTTGTGAATGTTTTATACTATTTTCACTTTTAAAACATTTTCTCCTCCATGATCACACATGCTTGCATTTCAATGTGTACCTTCCTTTAGAGAATAATGTAGATTTAAATTATACTAATCCTACAGCCATTAACTTCTGCACTGATTCAGTTATGTACTTAAGGAACATAAATTCCGAGTATTTGAAGTTAATCCCAGCTGAATCACTGCAAGTTCTCATCATCTGCGTAAAACACTCACACAGCGAAACATACAACATTTTTATTAAAGGCAAACTGCCGTTATCAATCTGATTGGGGTTTGTTTTATTTCTCCAGGCCTGCTACGGAGACTGGAGAGGAGGAGGAAGAAAAAGGTTCATCAAGTCAGCCTATTGCTCTGAGGAATTGTTTTCACCTGCAGAGGAACAGCATTCTTGAGAAACTTATCAAAACCTGCCCGGTTTGGCTCCAGTTTGGCATCAGTCTGGAAAAGGCTTCTGACATACTCTGCAAGGAACCATTGGGGGTACAGTTATGCTTCTTCAAATAACCCAGTTCTTCAGGGACTAGATATTCTTTCTCAAACCTTGATCTGATCCTGAATCAGCTAATCTGCATTTGATCGATGGCTTTGTTTCCCCGCTATAGAGCTGTCACTTCCTCAAATGTTCATAGGACTGATTGTAAGGTAGCACTGCAGGCATAAGTAGTACAGGCCAACCTTAATCATCAGAAGCATCTAATCTGTCCTTCATCAGAAGCATCAAGTTAGAAAATGCAGGATAGCATGGAAGTGGCAGGAGCCAGGAATGACAGGTTGTTGTTGTTTACTAGCCTCTCCAGGTGGGCTGTTCCGAGCCAGATACAGCATATGATTTATTCATTTTATTTGTTTAAAAATTCATACACAGCTTTTTCCAAGCAAACTTTTTTCCCCAGGAGAGTGTGCAAAACATTTCAGAAACTAGTATCGGCTTCTGAATACATGCTTAGCCAAGAATTTCTTCTATTTGGCACAAAAAGATTGACTTTTTCTCATTATAACAATCATATTTTGTCCAGGGAGGGGGAGCTTTTAATTATTGATAATAAAAGGATTGCACTTGGATGAATGAATGTGGATTGAATACAAAAGTTGAGTACAAAAATATGTTGGGGTGCTTTGGTCATGAATGAGCATGTCAATGACTGACCCTCTCCTAACTTTAATTTCTCTGGCTTACTATGCCTCATTTTTCCTTTGCTTTATATAATGTAGCTTATCTAAAAAAAGTATTGCGTGATGCATATGCATGTATGGAAATCTAGCGAAATTTTACTGAGATCTGTTGGGAGATTTTGTTCTATCTTTTGTTCTGCTTCAGCTTTCAGGGATGAAAAGAGAAATGCACCTTAGATTTATTTCCACAGTAACTTTTTGTAGCAATTGTGTTGACCATAAAATGCTTTATAACTGTTACATGGTTGAAAAAAACATAAAGGCTGATGCTCATTAATATTCGACATGTGTTGCTTGTAAATAACTCAAATCTGCAATACAAAATTACACTTCAACTCCCATTTACCAAATCTCTCGTCTTTTATTATTCCTTTGTAGTACCAGCTGCTATCTTTGAATAAAGGAAACAAATACCACAGCAGATTGCTAACACATATATTCTTATTTGGTGCTTATCAGCCTTCCCGATTCAGTTGTCCCAGAATTCCCAACTTTGCTATCTGGAGGCCAACAGATTGGGGAGAGCCTTTCATATCCTTATTCCTTTACATATCTCATCTCTGTTTTGTTCTAAACTCAACTCCATTTGCATTTGTGTTGCTGCTCAGTCCCAGTGGCTATTTCCTTAGCAGCCATTCCCTCCAGCACACTTCTGCTTCCTTTTTTGTGTCATTCTAACTTCCAAAAAATCTTCTCCCCACTCTAGAGACAGCTCTTTACAAAAGACAGGCCTTGGTAGAGAATATGAAAGGCCTAAAAGCAGAATGGATAATCACAATGGAAGCAGCTTTTGCATCTCAACCAAGTTATTTATGCTAGTCTCAAATGAACTGGATGACAGGGAATAGGAAAGTAGTCTAATTTTCAGATGCTAGTAATAAAATGCAAGGCACGTACTGTATTTTTTTTTTTTTACAAAATTCTAGAAGGAACTGTAGGTTACACGAGGAAGATTCCATATATTAAGTAATGTATTTTGAATAGACTTTCANAAGGAAGGAAGGAAGGAAGGAAGGAAGGAAGGAAGGAAGGATTGATTTCCAGTGTTCCTTGCCAAACTCTCACAAAGAAGCTCAACAGGGAAGCCAAGCAAGGAGTCAGAATTCACTCACACTCCCGTTGCTTATCCCAGTATTTGAGAGGCTGCCACAAAAAAATGGGGGACCTCAACCTGTTCTCCAAAGCACTTGAAGACAGGACAAGAAACAATGGATGAAAACCAGTCAAGGAGAGAGCTAACATACAACATTTTTTCTTTAACTTTGGTCATTCTTTTTCTCTCTTTAGATAAGGAAATATCTCTGAAACGATGGCCCAATAGGACATAAATTGTTGAGTAGTCTATAACATTGCAGCTGGCATAATTTGCACAGGAAAACAGAATAAGAAAATTCAATTTGTAAAATGTTATTTCAAGCTATGGATGGGCAGTATAGAAATTGCATTTAGTAATGCTTTCTTCGTTAACTTAATGTTTAAAAAGCCTAGCCAAGCAGATCAGACAAATTTGGGATGATATCTTTCTGTTCATAGGAAGAATTTTATCTGAAGGAGCATTCATAATGGGCATCCCCTATCTGCAATCAATAATGTGAATCCTGCCCATTATATTCCACCCACTCAGAGCAATTCTGTATGCAGAACAGATCTTTCTTTGTAAAAAGTCCCTTTGTACCTTCCTTGTTTCTCCCCATCACCTGCTTTGCATTATAATTACATACATCTTAAATATATGAAGTGCTACAAAAAATCAGAGGGGAAAAATAGTTTGGCACTACCTATATCCAAAGTTATCTTATGCTTTGAGACAGTCTTGTTATAAAATTATTATGTCTCATTTTTCCCCACCCATCATTATTAGAAAAACATAAGCAAAAGATATTTTGAGGCCCCAAAGCCAAAACAATTATTGTGTGAGCAAAAGAGACAAGATCAGAGGTGGTATTCAGCAGGTTCTGGCCAGTTCTGGTGAACCAGTAGCGGAAAGTTTGAGTAGTTTGGAGAACCAGTAAATGCCACCTATGACTGGCCCCATGCCCATCTATTCTCTGCCTCCCGAGTCCCAGCTGATCAGGAGGGAATGGGAATTTTCCAGTCACCTTCCCGTGACATGCCCACAAATCCACAGCCATAAAGCCATGCCCACAGAACCAGTAGTAAAATTTTTTGAATAAAGATGGTCACCTCAAGCAAAAGACTGAGAGGTAGCATTAAAGTAATAGGAGAAAAGACCTGCCTCCTTCAGATGTTCTGGCGATGTTCTAGAAATTCACATGTCACTGAAGAACTAATTATTTGAATATCAACTTCACTTTTGTAAATCGAATAGGAGGGAGCATGAATAAGTTCCTCATAATACTATAAATCATTTAGATGGAACTCGCTTGATTTGTTCATGGAGATATTCGAAAAACAGAATAACAAAATAACAGAGTTCGAGGGGACCTTGGAAATCTTCTAGTCCAACCCTCTACTCAAGCAGGAAACCATACGCAATTTAAACAAATGTTTGTCCAATCTCTTCTTAAAAACCTCCCGTGTTGGAGCACTTACAACTTCTGGAGGCAAGTTGTTCCACTGATTAATTGTTCTCACTGTCAGGAAATTTCTCCTTAGTTGTAGGTTGGTTCTATCCTTGATTAGTTTCCATCCATTGCTTCTTGTACTGCCTTCAGGTGCTTTGGATAATAGCTTGACTCTCTCTTCTTTGTGGCAGCCCCTGAGATATTGGANATTCTGCCTTTTCAATATTTCCTAGGATATTTCATTTTTCTGGGAGAGGGCTGGATGATAACTTCCCACACAACACTGTTATTCTGTTTTTCCTCTGTCTCTGAAATGTAGGACTGAGGTATATCTTCTCAGGAGTGCTGTCCTTTGAGAGAGGAAGAGATTCTTCCTTTATGTTTTTTAGCAAGGTGATTTTAAAATTATATTAAATAAATTCAGAGACAATAGCACTATCAGAAGTGACTGGGTGGAAGTTTATCCATCAGCAAAAAAAAATAATGGATAAAAATAAAAATGGAACCGCAGAGTTATTATGATTGAAATGGAAAAACAGCACATTTCACCATCTGAAAGAGATTGTGATCAAATGGCTTGTGATCCTTTTGTCATAATGCATAAGATTATGGCTAGATAGGCAGTTGTACCTACTCAATTTCTCGTCCTGTAGTTAACACCGAGGGGTAGTTTTCAAGAATGTTGCTCTCTTTTTTTTTCCATAGCTTTCCATCTTATATCGAACTCTATGAAGCTCCCAGTTTTTAATCTTTAATCAACTAAGATTGCATGGCCGTTAAAATAAAATGCAGACAAATTTGGACATTAGGCCATTTTAGTTTGGATCAACAGTTAATATCATGCTGTATATTACAGTTCATGAATTTTCCAATTTTCCTATCATGGAGTTTAGAAAATCTATGTAATTTTACCTGTTCCTTTTGTAATGTCCTCTACACTGGTGAATGGCTGTTGATAGGGAATTCCACAAAAGCATTGTCTTTCTGAGTAAGACTGATGTTCAGAATATAACAATTCATGAAAAAGGGTGAACCTGTGTTACACACTATGCTACATTAATTTTACCTAGTTGCTCATAAAGGGAGATGACATTTTCCTTCCTTGAGTTTTGAAATGGGTTGTGTGTCCCTCCTTAATCACCACATCTCTCTGGCTATTTTCCAGGTTACTTTTCATTTCATTGCTGTTCCCTATTCCTGGTAATAAGGTTATTAAGTGAATGCAAATGCTAATGGCTATTCCAGAGTACTAAAACATTTAGAATGCTGCTCTCTGTGACTTGGCCCACAGTGGCCTCTTGCAGATTAATTCTTTTGTCCTAGCTATTCTCAGAAGCCACATTCTCAAGTGTAATGAATTGTGTCAAAGAAGCCAAATATTTTAAAAGTGTGTGGGTGGGTGGGTGGGTGGATGGGTTAAGGTATATCTACACATACTTTCAAAGCATTCAGCAATTTGAACTTCACAGTGTCCTGTTCTTGGAAAAAAACTGTGTAAAAGACTTTGATTCCTCAGCACATTTGATCTCATTTTCTGATAAGCAGCATTGCACAACTCCATGTTTGTCGAGCGGCTACTTTTGGAAAGAAGTAAAAAAAAGTGCAAACATTTCTCCAAATAGTTTGCACTGACATGCATCTGTGCCTAAAACTATGGAAATACTTGGAGAATATTCATGAGTTCTATGGCATACAACTTGTATTGTGATTCAGAGAGAATTAAATTAGCTTGAACAATCACAGAGGTATGACATCACTGCTGCATTTCTGCACCATTCATAT